GAAAGAGTTTCAGCTTATTAAACATTTTTAAGGTTAATTAAGGGCTGATTCTGGAAACATCTTGAATATCACGGAAAGAACTTAGCATCTCTAAAATAAGTATCAGACAGGGACATTTTCAGCGGTACCTGAGGAATTTAAAAACACAAGTTCCACTGAGCATGTCTATTCTGCAGACTTACTGTGTCTGGTAGTAGCATGAGGTGCTACCTCCCCAGCTGGAAATAGTGTAGCTAAGTACATGTGGCACTGAAGGTGGATTAATGCTCAGCGACTCTTCAGCGATGCTAATTAGCTCGCACACAGCACAGTTAACATAGTTGCCCTGTTTCTGATCGGAGAGGTAACGTATGTGCTTGGCACAGCAAGTTCACAGCGTAGCCTTTGCCCATCGACTATTATTACAACTTGTGTTTCTAAATCTTTTCGATGCGTTGTCAAAATCTTCCATTAGGAACCAAGGTCCTTTTCCTTATGCAAAGCAGAGCAATGACATTAGTAGTACACAGTCTTTCTCAAGCCTGCCTGACCTGAAGTACCCTCTTTCAGACTGCCAGTTGCAATGTGGACATCTGTCTAGCAGCACACAGTCTGTGACCTCTCCAACTCATTTCACATAAGCCACCAAACAGCTGACAATCAGATAGGAAAGGCTTTCAGTCACTAGGCACTTGAGCTTGGTTTGAATTAATGACCTAGAGGTGAAAGGCTCTGTTTTCCATTTCCAATCCCTTCAGCTATCCAATTTGTGAGAGTCTACTTATGTTTCTGACATCTTGCAAAGTAACATAAATATGTTTTCTATTTTTTCTTTTAAATAAAAAAGATTGGGCCAGATTCTCGGCTTGTTCAACATCACTGCAGCTGCTCTGATTTACTCCAGGTGAAAAGCTAGCCCTTAAAGAAGACGGTATGCTTTTTCAGCCCTGTAGAAACCTACTATCCTCCTCTTAACTCCTCTGTTTCCTTAGGGAATGCTGCATTTGACATTATTTGTGCACCTTTTTCCTGAACTGTCAATGGGAGCTTTGGGGGTTGAAAATAAAGCTGGTTTAAATGGCCTGATCCTGATAGTCCCACCTAGGCAACACTTCCACTGAGTGTTTTGCTGCACTGGAGAGTTAGCAGGCCTCTATGCTGCTTGTCTGTACATTTCAGACTACAAGGATGCAGCATCTGTGCACAACTGATGGCATTATTAGAAGTGTCCTAAGTGATTTAACAGCACAAACCTCATTGAAAGTCAATTGCTAGTAGTGTAATAAAAGAGTAAGCAAGGTAGGCAGCCAAACCCCACTGAATATCAAAGAGATCTGGATGCCTAACTCCCTTAGGCCACTAAATAACTAGCAAGAATTAGTCTGAGAACAGTCAAGAAAGTTACATTTTGAACTCTGTGTGTGTGTCAAATTTTTCATGTATAGGTTCTCAGTAAGGTAAAACTTGGCCTTACTTTGCTGGAGTTAAATTTTCCTGTGCGCTAAAGCCATTCCACAGCTGAAGGAAAGCCTCATCAAGGAGCTGGATATCTGTGGATTTTGTTCATGCCTACCTGATTTGTCTTAACTTGATTGTCCCTGAGTCAATAAAAGTAGATGCACTGCTTCTAAGTATCCAGCACAATTTGACAAAGTGTATTTGCATCCAGTTGTGACTGTTTTATTGTGCATTATATGAGAATTTAAATCAATTGTGCCAAGACTGTAAATAGTGATCTGAGGTTTGGGAAGCCAGATTTTGATCTTATTTCTCTCTGTGTAAACCTAGAATTGGATTTGTTAGAGCTGCTCCGGACTGACATTATCGTAGCTGAGATCAGTCAGGGGGGAGAAGGGGCCCTGGGTCTTGATTTGGTGTAATTTATAATCTGTCTCTCTAATACTTGTTAACGTGTATGTGCTGAAATATCTGTACA